AAATCAACTGAATAATGTGGAGGTGTAAACTGAGAACCCTTTCTAGGAAAATACATCCTTATTCTGGCTCGATCTCCAAAATCAGAAGATCGAACTTCACGTACAGGAACTGGTGTGATCTTCCCAACAGTGTACCTGTGAGCTTCAAACAGAATATTTAGCAAGTATAAAACATCCTATGAAAAAAAATTGAGTTTAGCAGAAAACAGATCCACCCAATTAAACTGAGATTTGATTTGGGAGTTCAAACTTGTATCCAATTATTCCAAAGAAGTCAAATCAGAGAGTTGTGGTCCCTCCAATACAAAAAAGGCACACATGAAATATCCCAAAAAGACCATTTTTTTAAACTTCCTTTTTTAAGGGTGATCAACTAGAGTTAGGCTGCACCATGACCAAAACTTACTGACTGCCAGAAATCATAAGCAAAGAGGAAAAGACATGGCACAATCAAGGTACCTGGGGAGCATTTAAATGAGTTAACAAATTACTGGCAGCCAAGGGTATATGCAATCCAATGTTCCAACAAGCCAATATGTTTAATTCCTAATACTCAGACATCCGGTAAAATATTAAGAGGTCAGTTTTCTGACACAGTAGTATTAATAATTTGAGACTACAAAGATGTGGGTAAAGGAATTTTACCTGATACCAAGTTGCAAATTAAGCATTAAATAATAGCTCCTACTATGGACTCCAAAAATGTCAATACATGACCTCTTTTCTTGCATCACTGCAATTTTATTTCGTTGTTTACTTTTCCGTGATATCTCTGTATAATTACTAGCTCTCTCTTTAATCAACACCCCTTGCATGTATTCTCTCTCGTAAACGGAACTGTTATCTTGTGCCTCAGGTTGACCTTCCTCAGAGGCATGGGACAATTCGCATAAGGAATCGTAGCGTATAAACTCTCGAGAAGGATCGCAATGGGTCCAATTTTTATCTAATGACATAGCCTTGTGTGATATACGACTTGAATTTCTTAAAAGTCCACTAATAGATAATTTCTCTGAAAAACTGCGCTTAACACTTGGTCGAGCCCTGCTTTCCTCTGAATTTAGTAACCCAGACAAACTTGTTCCATCATTGCAATAATCTAGAGAGCTGCACCACTTCTTTAGGGAAGGATGTTTAGTTCCCACGGGATAAAGGGTTCCTTTTCCATCCTTTAAGCCCTGACTCCATGTTCCAAAATAATATCCCCCATCTGCAAACCTATAAACTCCAGACCCATCTCTTAACCCATTCAACCAAAAGCCATTGAAAAGATCACCATTTGCCCATTTCATGATCCCTCTACCACACATTTTCCCACCTTTCCAACTCCCAATATATGTATTCCCACTATTCCACGAATACCTACCACTACCTTCATGTATTCCTTCCTTCCATGATCCTTCATAAATATCTGAATTACAATACTGTTTTTTTCCCATCCCATGCTGAATATTCATCCTCCACGAACCCTGGTAAAACGAACCATCACATCCAGTAAAGATGCCATAACCATGAAGGTAACCACCAGAGAAATCACCTACATATTGCGCTCCGGATGTCCAAATTAGCTCCCCTTTGCCTGTCATTTTTCCTTCATCCCAATCACCCTCATAGACTGTTCCATCAGACCATGTGTATTTACCATTACCATGAGGCAGAATTCCCTTAAAATTTCCAATGTAGACATCTCTATTTGAGAAGGCTTTCTCCCTGAGCCAAAAATAAAGAGAAGAAAAGGATATTATTTATAAAATATGGTTCATAGAAGAGATGAGAGGAGATAGTGATAGGAGAGAAACAGAGATAAGCTGAGAATTATTACCTTACTGTGTACTCCATAATAGCTTATAATAATTAATTCAGCTGTCCCGGATATTGTTCACAAATTTCATCTCGTACAGGCTTTGTAACTATAGACAGGTCACTATTCAATCACCTTCGCCACCTACAGTAAAAGCAGCAAGTGGATTTTGGGACTCAGTACATAGAGTGTATGCCTCAAATAAATAACCAAATGTCATCATAACAGTGGACTGACTAAAATACAATCACATTTCACATTTTGTGTTGCCCAAAAGAGAAAAGCTAGTGGTTTTGGAATTCTGATCACTTCTGCCAGGAAAAAAAGATGCACGATCCTTTTAGGTTATCACACATTGGTATATGGTTGCCAATCATGTGGGAATTGTTTACAGATAAGAAATAAAAGTAAAAATTGTACAAAGCAAAAAGAGAGCATCATTTTTATAATGCTTGTTCTAAATTCTAATGCATTCTGTCTTAAATTATGAGATATTAAAAGCTTACAATGCTGAATTACATAACCTTTCATAGCTTGTAGGTTGCAGAAAGGAAGCTCAAAAGTCCATAAATTTATCAGTCAACAAATTCAAAGAAAACACAACTGAGCTACCACAAATCCAATTCCAAACCTTTTTAACCCAACAAACCCCCCAAAACATCAATGTAAAAGTATTGTTTTATTAGAAATTTCAAACTTCAAGATAAAATTTTAGAAAACCCAACAATGGCCAACCATCTTAATCATCAACTTCCAAACTAAAATCGTAGATATTATATCTTGTTTGGCATATCACCACATGACTTCATGTCTGGACAAAAAGGAAACCAAACAAGCTACCAATAAAACGCAGCTTCTTTATTGACAGGTAGATTCTCCAACCAAATCTTCCAATTTGTTTCGAAACGAGCACTAGTAGCAGCACGTATTGATTGTACAAGAACAGATCCTACATTAATTTACAAAATGCTAGAACCTGAATCATAAGCTACTACTACTTGCCAAAACCATAAATTATACAGCTAACCATTTTCTCATCCACAGTAATCTCATAACTGGAAAATGATGTCGTAGTTAATCAGATCATGATTTTGAAACTTGTAAAATATTATCCAATAATCAACTTCAAGCAAAGTGGGAATTTTCAGGCTTTATGGGCTTACTGCTTTATGCTTATCAAATACTTTCTACAACAATTTGATTTCAGTGAAACTCCTATTCCTACTAAGACTAGAAAAGTAAAAGACACAGTAAGCAGAACCTGAGAAATTGAAGCTCTAAGCAATAATTTTGATAATATTATCAGCAAATTGATCAAGAAATATATGTACACACACATATATATAAGTAATTATTTGAATGAGAAACAACATGAGCTTACCTGGGCTTGGATGTAAAAGTGAAAAAAACCAATCCCTCTCTCCAAACTTCCAAAGAGACCTCAAAACAGAGCCAAACTCTCAATGAACTGAGTTTCAAGAAAATAAACAGTAAATAAAAGAATCCCAGGAACTCTCAGAGCCAAAAATATCAGACCCTCCACTTGAATTGACACTTCACCACCAATCTCTCCCTCACTGATTGAGAAACAACTGATCATTCGGTTTGAAGTTGTTTTCCCATTTTCTGATTTTTTTTTTTTTTTTCTTTCTTCAAGAAAGGGGAAAAACAGAACACAAACAAAACAATACAACAGAGCCTTGATGTCGCTGTTCAGGAATATTGACACGTGTCAAGCAAGTGAGCCTGGCTTGGTCATGGGGACCCACGTGGACTTTGCATCAAGACGTGAGTGGTGGTGATTGGTTGGCGGAGGGGAGAAAAGGTGTACCTGAGTTGTACCTGATAAGGCTGGCTCAGGTGGAAAGTCTTAATTGAATTTGAAAGCATAAATGTGTGTCAAGTCAGCTACTGGGCGGCGATTGTGTGTGTGTCGGCACACCAAACTATTCACGTGGGAATTTTTGATTTTATTTGATTCCTTTGGTCGTCTTCATCGGTAAGCCAGGGTGTAGTAGACTGTAGTTTGTGCTACTTGCAACTTGCAGGTTGCAACTGACGAGATTCTTATTCTTCCTCCATCTCAAAGTAAAACAAGAGCCAAAGGAGACGGTCTTTTTCTATTTTACCATACAAAAGGAGGATTGTTAGCTACATTCTCCTTCCAATTTTTTTTTTCTTTTTCATATGTGACGGTGTTCAAGGTCATCATTTCAGATTATTTAAGGCTCATTTTGGAGTGATTTTAAAGTTGTCGCAATGTTGCTAACGGGGTCTAGTCTAGTAGAAAATGATATTGACTTGTAACAAACAAATCGTCTCAAGTTCGAACACCCATGTGACTTTAGCAAGTGTGTAAAAAATCCCCCTCCCCTTTCTAAATTTGGCAACCAAAAAAAAAACAAAAAAAATAAAAGTTGCCACAATTTACAGAAATTAGAGCATCTACAATCATGCTCTTTATTTTTTAGTTAAAATTTAGCTAAAAACATAGCAAAGCTATTTTAGGAGCTCTCTATAAAATTTTAACTCCAATCATACTCTCTAGTTTAGGGCTTTATAAATGCGATAACTCTTTTTTAATTGGTCCATCTTTATTTAAAAAAAAAATAGTTAGCATTAATTAAAGGTTTAAAATACTCATAAAAAACATCATTAAATTATAGGAAGCCACTAGGAGTTCTTTCTCTCTCATCATATTTAGGAGCTCCTAGAAGTCTCTATTTTAGGAGGTGAATAGGGAGCATAGTTGGAGTTATATTTTTCCAATAACTTTCTAAAATTTGTCTAAAGAAGTGGTTTAAGGAATCCATTATAGATGCTCTTATTAGGGGTGAGCATTTGTGCCAAAAAAACACTAGCCATGCCAACCCAATCAGCGGGTTTGGTATAGCAATAATTTATTTTTTTATATATATGTATTTAATATCAATTTGATCTGAATCTGAGCCAAAAGACTCGATTAAAAACATCTGGGTAATCGGGGCAAACCATATATTATAACTTCAAAATTAAGTTTTTGTCGTAGATGTATCTGCATCCTCCCTTTTAGTACTTACTTAAAATAACAGTTCAGATACAGTGGAAATGATGTCCAGATTTTCAAACTTTGCTTTTTTGAAAATAGATTACATGGTAAAATGGAAGTAACGAAGATCTGTCCTGATTACTCCGCATAGAGACAAACTTTATCCAACTGTTATAAAGTTACAATTACAAGTACAAAGAGTTTATTGACGGATACAAGGAAGTTTTGGAAGAAAGAAAAAGGATAAAAGGAAATACAAACAGTTTATTGAAGGATACAGAAGGATGATTTGAAAACACCCGGTTTAATTATTTTACCAGATACAATAAATTTAACCCCCTATGCAATCACATACAAGCTAAGAAGAAAAAAAATTAAAATTATAACTCATCGTCTGTTGACGGTCCGTCTGTTCACAGAACTTAAACTGCCAAGTGGAGGGAAATCATCTTTCTCAAGAACAAAAGAAGAGTTGATATTCCGCTTCTTACCACTCTTGGATTCAGTACGGTTAAGTTCGTCGTCTTGATGCAAGTTCTGTTGAACTTGTGACTTGACAGGAAAATAGGAATAAGGCTCCCCTTGTTCATCTTGCTGGATTTTTTATTTGGCAAAGGGAGAATGAACAAAAGGTTTAATTTCCCGAAGCTCGGGATTGTGAAAAAAAAAGTATGGAATCTTGCTATTATCCATTTTTCTGAAAGTAATTGAAATCCTGCAACGATAACAGAGTTTAAAAGTAATTGAAACGATAACAGAGTTTGAAAGTAATTGATATCCTGCAACGATAAAACGCAGCTTCTTACTTGACAGGTAGATTCCCCAACCAAATCATTCACATTTTTTTCGAAATGAGCACTAGTAGCAGCATGTATTGATTGTACAGGAACAGATCCTACATTAATTTACAAAATGCTAGAACCTGAATTCCTAATATTGTAATCATAAGCTACTACTACTTGCCCAAACCATAAATTATACAGCTAACCAATTTCTAATCCACAGTAATCTCATAACTGGAAAATGATCTTGTAGCTAACTAGATCATAGTTTTGAAGCTTGTCACATGATATCCAATAATAAACTTCAAGCAAAATGGGAATTTTCAGGCTTTATGGGCTTACTGCTTTATTTTTATCAAATGCTTTCTACAACAATTGATTAAAGTGAAACTCCTATTCCTACTAAGACTAGAAAATTAAAAGACACACTAAGCAGAACCTGAGAAATTGAAGCTCTAAGCAATAATTCTGATAATATTATCAGCAAAATGATCAAGAAATGTATATAGACATATACGTAACTAATAATTTGAATGAGAAACAACATGAACTCACCCGGGCTTAGAAAATTATGGTGTTAGTACAACAATTAGCTAGTAGGTAGTACCAGATAGGTAAAGGGTGCAAAAAGGTGACCACGCAGGCTCCAAGTGGCACACTGTATTACAGAACAGATCTTATCTGCAGATCATGCGGTTGAGCGGTCGATTATTTCCGTTGATCAGCTTCAAGAATATGCTCAGTGATCGTCCTTTGTATGACAGCGTCCGGCATGATGCCACTAATTAACATATGGCCGTACAAAATGAGGGCTTCTGCCATTCTTCCTACCTTGCAGTAACCTCGAATCAGAATCCCATATGCTATTACATCAGGCACCAAACCCCTTTCTATAGCACAATGAAACACAAGGGATGCTCTCTCCGTTAGTCCTCTCTTGCAAAGACCATCCATGAGGATGCTATAACTGACTATATTGGGAGAGATGTTTTTAAGCATCTCTTCGTGCAGTTCAAATGCACTTTTCATGTTTTCAGATTTAAAATAACCATCAATAAGACAACTATATGTGACCAAATTAGGTTCAGGATCCTTTTCCAGCATTTTATCAAACATCAACATGGCATCATCCATGTTACCTTCTTTGCAAAAAGCATCAATCAGTATAGTACAAGTAATGGCATTGGGTTTACACTGTCCCTGTATCAGCTTTTGAAAAAGATGAACAGCTGCATCTAACCTTCTCAGAGAGCAATAACCACAAATCATTGTGTTGTACGTAACAATGTCAGGTTCTGGCCCACTTTCAGTAAGTTGCTCAAAGAGTTCTTGTGCAGCTTCTAAATAACTTTCTTTGAAAAGCATATTAATGAGAACATTATAAATGGCAATATCAGGACTTACTCCATTTCTTCGCATCATCTCTAGAATCCAGAGTCCATAATACACATGTTTCTGCTTGCAGCAACCATCAATTAGTGTGCAATACGTTACAACATCAGGCAAGAACCCCTTCTTTAATGATTGGAAGAAAAATACTAACGCATCTTTTAATCTCCCTACTTCAGAGATACCCTTAATAATCACAGTATACGTCACCATATCAGGTTTTATGTTATAAACTCCCATTTGGATGAACACCTTCAAAGCATCACTTAGTCTTTTTAATCTACAGCAACCATCTATTAACATATTAAAAGTATAGACATTGGGCTTTACACCCCTATAAACAGCCTGAAAGAAGAACCTAAGAGCATCACCCATCAGCCCCTGTTTGCAAAGGCCGTTTACTAGCACACCATAAAGAATAATATCAGGTTCATAGCCAGTCTTGATCATACTCTCATACAAGTAAAATGCATCCTTTAAATTCCCCAATTTGCACATTCCATCAATCAAACTACTGTAAGTTAGAATGGATGGCACAAAACCACACTTCACAATCTGACCGAATATGCCACAAGCCGCCATGACCTTACCATCCTGACACATACCATTTATAAGAATGGTGTAACAAACAGGGTTTGGCAAGATCCCTTCTTTCAGCATTCTTCCGTAGACCTCCACTGACTTCACCAAGTCTCCAATTCTCACATAGGCATCCATAACGGAACTGAAAATGACTACATCCAACCTAATGCCGCTATCTAATGCCTCTGAAAAAAGTCGAAGCCCCTCCTCCAATTTCCCTGCCTTAAAAAGACCATCAACTAGAATACTATATACAACCAAGTCAGGGCTGACACCCTTCTCTATCATAACCTTATAAAGCTTAATGGCCTCCTCCAATTTCCCATCCTTACAATACGCGTTAATCATCGTGCTGAATGTCACCACATTTGGCGCAGGACCACCCATTATCAATACATTAAAGAAATCTTCCCCAACTCCAATCAGATTTTCTTTACAAAGACGCTTTAAAATCTTGTTACAAGCAACAACATCAACCACAAAGCCTCTTTCAATCACAGCAGAATGAAAATCCAAACCCGTTTCAACTTTACCCTTGTTTAGAAGAGCAACCATAACAAACTCATACACACAGAAACACTGTCCTCTCAATGCTTTACACACTTGTCCATATAAATCAAGAATCACATGGATACGATTTGAATCAACCAAAAAAGTCAACATTCTAGATAACACATAAGGAGACACCGGAACTCCCAATTTACACATATGAATGAATGTTTCAATAGACGAATCTAGCATCCCATTCCGACAAAAGTTCTCAATCAGAAAGCTATAAAGATCACTATAATCCGAAGCATAATCGGGAGAAATCTCAGAAAAAGCAGCAAAAAAGTGAAAATGAGTCCCAAATTGGCATACCATTGTATCGAAAAGATGTGAAGCCGGAGCCAGCTTTCGGTGACGGAGCAGCAGATGAATAAGGGCACAAAAGGCCTGCTGGGAGTGGTGTAAGCCGAGAGAGTTGCGGGACCAATCAAGCAAGTGATGGGTGCAAATGGAGTTGGATTGGAGGCTGAGAGGGATGTGGTGGACATGGTTGGGCTGTAATTTGGAAACAAAATGGGGGTTCAAGAGTTTGGGGTTAAATTGGAGAAGTGCGTTTGAGATGTGGTGAATAAGAGCTTTGCAAGAGAATAGAGAATAAGGCGAATAGAAATGAAGAGAGTGGCGTGTGAGGAATAATACGTTTGAGAATGAAGAGGAAGATATCATGTTTTTTCAAGCTTCGACATGCTTCATTTGCTCATGAGCCAACTACTCTTCTTCACTAGTACATATTAACAAACCCAATATCAAAACAAACATTATTTTTACATACAATCACAGCACACCACAAAGTGAAAAATTAAATCAAACAGGGTCATATTAACAAACTATCTAAAATCTAGAACCCTAAAACAAAGCACAACAAATAGGGGTTCCTGTGACTTTTCTAAATGAAATGAAACTGCAGAGACCATTCATGGGTATCTTCTATAGAAAGAAGACTTGAATGCAATAGAAACAAAATTGAACAGTGCACCAAAAAGAAAAACGAAAAAGAGTTCAAAAGAAAAAACAAATAACCCCCAAAAATGAGAAGAATAGCAGTTTTATGCTTCTAGCATTGTCAGACCTGGCAATCGTGTCGTGTTGGCAGTATTCATGTCGTTTTCGTGTCAACCTGCCTTTGAGAAAACGGGTGGAAAATACCAAACATGAACACGACCTGTTACACTTTGCGAATAACACAACCCGTTTCACCCGTTAAGAATAAAAAAACATAAGGAAGAAAAAAAAAATCAATCGCAGTACACGCAGGGGCAGCCAGCCCTCTCTTCTCTCCTCCTCTCCCAATTTCCGTCAAAGAAATTGACTTAGCTCATATCCAGAAATTCAACCGAAGTTCAAAATCAAGTATTTGAAATTCATCAAATACTTGATCAAATTTCAAACTATAACAGATAATTAATCGAAAAAAACTCCAACAACAAATTCACAAAATCCACTGCCTAAATTCCAATCCAAAGCCAATAATTCACTCAACAACAAAATACATATCCAAAACTGAAAAGATAGAGTACCAATTGGCGAGGAGGAGGGCTCCAGTTCATACCCAGAGCGCAATGTACTTGGGAGGCATGAGACTGCTCTCCATGCTTGCATATTCATCTTCCTTTTCGTTGTGGGGCTTGTGTTTGTGGCAGCTGAGAGAGTGGAAGAGTGAGCGAGATTTTTGTTTTTGAAAATGAGAGAGAGTTGGAGCAGAAAGTCGGTGGAGAGGGAAGATAAGGAAGATAAGTCAGGAGAAAACGGAATTGAATTGAATTACAAGAATGAAGAGAGCTGGAGAAGGTGTCGATTCTTTCTCAAAAGTGAGTGGTTGGGGTTCGAATCCCCTTCTCAGCAAGCATCAATGTTCTTTGTTTTTTTCCAATCTACCTCTATTATAAAATTACAAAAATGCCCCTGAGCTAGTTTCAAGGTTCAAAATATAAGACAAGTAAATTGTTTGGCCTGCTAGGCGTTTACAAACTTTATGAAGATATGTGCGTCCTCTTTACTCTGCGTAGTGAAAAACTTTATCAAACTTTTATTAAATTAAAATAAGAAATGCAAAGAGTTTATTGAAGGATACAAGGAAATACAATCACACACAGCTAAGAAGAAAAAAAAGAATATTAAAAACACCCCGTTTAATTATTTTACCTGATACATAAATTTAGGCCCTACGCAATCAAACACAGCTAAGAATAAAAAAAGAATATTAAAATTGTAACTCATCGTCTGTTGACGTTCCGTCTGTTGACAGACCTTAAACTGCCAAGGGGAGGGAAATCATCTTTCTCAAGAAAAAAAGAAGAGTTGAGATTCCGCTTCTTAGCACTCTTGGATTCAGTACGGTTAAATTCTTCATCTTGATGCAAGTTATGTTGTCCTTGTGACTTGACTGGAAAATAGGAATAACAATTTCCTTGTTCATCTTGCTGGATTTTTGATTTGGAATAGGGAGAATGAACAAAAGGTTTCATTTCCTGAAGCTCGGGATCGTGAGAAAAATTGTATGGAATCTTGCTATTATCCATTTTTCTGAAAGTAATTGAAATCCTGCAACGATAACAGAGTATGAATAACAGGAAGTACAAGTTAAGAAAACATGGTTGTGTTGTATGGAATGGGGAACATGATAGGATACCTTCTTGCTGTAACACCAGGTACACAATGCTTAGCAATGTCAGCTGCATTACCATTTAGAATAAGCACTGATCTGCACAACATATGCATAACAATTAACAAACAAATTAAGCAATCAAAACAGAAGTGATCAATTGAGCAGAGAAGCAGTACAGAAAGCATACCCGACAGGCAAAGGTAGAGAAACAGGTCCCGAAAACTCTCCTGGACCCACAACCTTTAGATTTGAACCAAAAAGTATATCGCATTCTGTCAAAAATGAAACCGTGCAGAAAGGTCTAATAAAATCACGGTGGTCAATATGAGGAGGAATACAATCCCCTTCATCGTATATATTCACAATGCAGCTGTCAGGGATGCATGTTGGAGGTAATATATGCCAACTGACCATCCTCCTTATCATTTGCTTGAACAAAGGGGGTAGGGGATCAACGTCTTCATTTCTAACAATACCTGGCGGGTTCCCATTCCTATCCTGTAACGTTACACATAATAAGGTAATACTCATATAAATGGCAATTAAATCAAGTACTAATGGCAGAGAGAAAAGAGAAAGGTACCACTGCATAATTGTAACAGCAACCAAATTGTATTGTTACACGTCCTTTACCACGCATCCACTTTCTAGGTTCGGAATACGTCCGCTCTGCAAGATATACAAAAGAATGATAAGAAACATCTTATTCATTTGGATTCGCATATATGTTAAACAATCCCAACAGCATGCTTTGATATCTTTTTCAGGATAGCTAATGCATACAAATCATCCTATTAATAAAATACCAAGTTAGATCTAGTCAAATAGAGGTTCACCAAAGAAATTCTGGTTTCTTATAGAGATATTCCCCTAGAAATGCTATCTAGGCATTAAATGGTTCAAAGAATTATCAAGTGCTATGGACAAAGTTAATCTCTCTACTAACTTTTGTTTCAAAAAGTACGCGTAGCGGGTACTATAGAATCCATCCCAATCATCTAAACTATGATTTAACTCATCTTTTACTTAATTTTAGCACAATCTATGAACACAAACAGTTGTCTGAAAAAAAAAAACATATGCAGGATCACTAATCTGTCCAAAGAAATTGATTTAAAACTAAACTAACAAAGTAGAGGAGAATGAGAAAGAGAGTATATGACCATATACCTCTAAGTTGTCCCCTTTGCCCCATACGCTGTAAATTGTAGACACATTCAACAATCTCCTTCCGCTCCTTGGCATTAAAAACCCGCGTATGTAGCTCTAAGCCCTGTAGCACATTTGTTCGTCTACCATTTATACTCTCAATGTGGCTGAAGTCCTTCTCTCTCCCAACTTGTAATACTCGATTATGCTCGTTTGGATCCTCCAATAATCCACCACAAATGAAAGAGGAATCTCCTCTGGTTGCATCATTGAATAATACTGGAGAAGCTGAATGCTCAACTGAATTCCTTTTCCTGTTTATGGATGCGGGCCAAGAATTAGCAGTGTACCCTCTCTGCGTTGATAAGTGGATAGGAATTGTTTGGGGTGGAGTGCACTCTTGTTGGTCAAACCTTTTATCACATGACTCCATACTAGTATTCTCCGACCGTGCAATTGGTGCATTCCTGGACTGGCTTGGTACATCCACAGCCCTTTTGTTATTATCACTAGAAAAGGATACATCACCTATTTTTTCTGCATATTTAACAAAAAAGGAAAGGATTAATTGGTTATAATGAGATATGCTAAACCACCTTAACATTACCCTAATTGGGAAAAAAGCTCTCTTGTACAACCTAGGCCTAGCTATTCAAATATAACCTAGAAACCCCAAACATACCGAATTAGGCATCAGCATTTATTTTAATTCAAATTACACAAAGAATTAAACAGAAGAAAGCAAATAAAAGATACCATCTTTAAGTTTCCTTGGATTATAGTGGGAAGAAAGGAATAGACTAAAAACAGAAGTTATTCATTAAAAGAAAAACAACCCTAATTAGCATCAAATCCTAATCACTCCTAAGAAATTCAAAAGGACATCAGAAGAGATGAGAAAATACACCATTCCTGATCATAATTCTTTAATAACAACAACAACAACTCTCTTATTGTTTTGGCAAAAACCCATCTGACAAAACTTCCAAAATGCTGTTCATTTCTTACTGTGAATTCGATCCTTCAAGAGGCCTCGGCAGTTTTGGCAAAACCCATCTGACAAAACTTGCAAAATTTGGTCGCGTTCTAAAGTTCTCAGCAAACTCATCCAGTCTTGGCCGGCAGTTGCACTGGACTCTTCTTCAGTCCTCATCGTGATGATGATCAGTAACTATTTGATATGAAACTCCAGAGAAGAAAAATTTTAAGAGAAAAAGAAAAAGAAAGATGAGAGAAGAAGAAGAAGAGAATTTACTGGATGACTGAAATAGGAGATGCGCTAAGTGTTTAAACATGTTGACTTAAGATTCGTGTTTGTTTTGACTGGGGAAAGACTTGAGTTTCAAGTCTTCCTCCTTGCCAGGCAGGGGCCCCTGGGGGCTGTCCGGGGTAATTTCCGGGGTAAACTCTCTTTTTTACTGAAAAAGAATGTTTCTCGACTAGACCCGGTGAGCGAATCAGAATTTAACTTGTCAATCCGTATGTGATTTACGAGCCTCTGCAGATATTTGCATTTATTTGTATTTCACCGCATCTTGGCCGTTTTAATAATCTAATTAAAGCATAATACATCAACAAACATATATTTAATCTAATTTTTCTTATTATTTTCGTTATAGCTACGGGCCGGTTCGGGACCAAGTATGGCAATATCATTCAATTTCCCGCTCTCCATCCCCGATAAAGAATTTTCGAAGAATTCCCATTCCCGTACCCATCGGAAATTGTCTACCAAACTCGCCGTGAATTCCCGAATTTTTTATTTTTTAAAAAAAGTATTTATCTTACATGGAAAAACTTTCTATGTGTTCAACGCTTGGTCAACATGGAAAATTCATAACAATATGTATTTTAGCAGAAGAAGAATTGGAGAGAAGAAGGTTCAGAGAAGAAACCAGAATCTCAGGCTTGTATTGTAACTCTCTTCTTACCAAGTTTACAAGCCTAAACTCCTTAACCACTCACTAACCGAAACTGTTACAACCTACTTAACAAATAACACGCTAACACACTAACATAACAGCAGCCTATATTGTTTATTGAATGTGTCTTTAGATATGAGTGCTGCTAAATGAACCCTAAAATTAACTGAGTACACCCTACTATCAAACTATTTATTGAATTACTAATTTATCCTAATATAAAATGACCAAAATGGATATATTGAATTATGAAACAAATTATTTTAATAAGTACACCCTACGCACTATATTCAACCCTAATCAAACGTAAGCAAATGCTATGAAGTTGTTTGTTTGATACAGATCTTGGTCATTGGTGGTAGATAACACTCTAGCGGATACATGCTCCATGGAGTCCACTCCGACAGGTTCTTTAAGGGGTTGTGGATGATTCATACGAGGAGGAAAAATAAATAAATAATTTATTGGATGAAAGTTGAGCCCTTCAAACTTAGAACATTCTCTTGGTTTCTTTTTTCTTTTTTTCTATTTATTATTTGGTTCTGGAACTACAAAAAGGAAGAAGGAAGAGTAATTAAAAATAGAGACTTACGGAACAGATTTAGACGACCAGTATGAGCATTGAATGGCTATGTAGAAATTTCAAAGGGTAGTAGGTTAATTTTAAATTCATCCAGTAATAACTAGAGATCGGAAAACAAATCCAAAACAACTTACAAGGGTTGTAATATCTTCAATAAAATCATCTCCAGCTGCAGAGGAGGCATTAGGTTTGGTGTTGTGTGATAGAGTGTATAGGGGTATTTTTGGTGATTAAATAGGGTGTGCTTGGTTAATTTTATATTTTGATTTAAATATTAGGGTGTACTTAGATTATAGGGTGTACTCAGTTAATTTTAGGGTTCGTTTAGCAGCACTCTTAGATATTAACATCCAACAATTTTGTGTGTAATGCCCAAGCAAATGTCTATAATTCACATAAAAATGATTGTAGAAAATTGTCATCAGGGTAACTTTTTTGCTTGTTATATTGTACTATATTTTAATTTAGAAAAATAAATAATATCACTTATTGCCCGAGTATAGGGATAACAATACCATCCCAACCCGTCCTCAATAAGGAATTTTTAAAATTTAGGGATTCTACCACAACTGTACAAATAGAATAACCCATTTATACATAATGGTAAAGAGGCCCTCCCAATTTTTCCCCGAATCGGCGTAAGACCCTACTCAGCTGGGATTTTAACCATCCATTCTACCGTTATCTCCCCCCTCCCCCAAATTATCAACTCCTTCCATCTCCTCTCCATACTCATCTCCTACTATGACAAATTTGTTCTTAAGAAATTAGGTTTGTTATGCCATTAACAACCCCAATAAATTTACCTTTTATAAGTCACTAGTCTTTTTGCACGCGCTTCTACGCCTGCGAGAGGTTTTTTTTTCTTTTATTTTAGAATTAAAAAAAATAATGGGTAGTTGTGTTCCATAAAAATAGGATATATTATCTAATTTTTCTTTTAATTTTAATTTTTTTAATATAAAAAGTGTGATTTTATCATATTATCCTCATTTAATTAATAATTTCAATTCTTAATATTTGCATTAATCAAAAGTATTTTCTGGTATTTTGAATATTTTTACCATTCTCTGCCTTTTATTTTATATATAGATAAATACTGGCCTGAGCCACTTGTGAATTTTGATGAGAAAAAACAAAGAAGCAATCACCGCTGGAGACAACATTTGATTTGTGGGCCTGGAAGTTGGGGAAAAGTAACTTGGGCAGGGATTTAAAATTCAATCGTAGTCGTTGATTTTATCCAACGATGCAAATCGCAATTCCGTAACTAAAATCTTCCCTTCTCCAACTCAGACATGCTCATCCCTCCATCTGTCTCACCCTCAGTACCTCACAAGCTTGCAAAGATGGAGGTGTCGTCGGTACACGGCGTCGGTGTCCAACATGTCCTCTGCGGCCCTTCACCCATTTATTCTCTCTCTATTCTCTCTGCGACTCCATGGAGGAGCACAAGAGCTGAGAACTCTCATCTCTGTTGTGCCACAACTCTTGTCAAAGAACGCCTCACTGAGCCTCCCAACAATGGCAGCGGAATCCCAAAGCGGCACTCCAACCAATACTTGGCTAGACAGTCTGCTATTCTTGAGGTCCAAGAGTCCTCTGATTTGGACTCGGCTCTTACAAGGTCCTTTTCCGGTTTTTTCTTTTTTGATAACTTCAGTTGACCCAGTTAATGTTTCTGCACATTTAGATTGTTGAGTTTTTCTTCCAAGTGATTGATAAATTATACGTTGAATTAACATATGGGTTTAGTGGTTGGTAGCAAAACTTGACAGTTTGAATTGCAAGTAAATTGGCTATTATAATGTCTTGTAATTTATTTCATTTTAATTGCAAGTAAAATTTGACTGTTTGATTGTTTTGTTTGACTGTTTCGACATATTTACAGACTTTGCTTCATGGACTACAGTTTTTAATTGAAACTTGAACTGGGTTTTCTAAGTAGTGGCTACATTGTGTTTTTCTTATAATTTTTTTTTGTGGGTCAATTTGATTCTTGTGATTATGAAGTGTTTATTCTCGAAAACATTTTGGTTTTTAATTTTCACTGACATCATTCAGTTTATAGTGGAGTCAAAGATTCAGTATGTGTGTTTTATGCATATGATGAGCTATTATCCTTCCAAATTCCAAAATTAACTTAACTAGTGTTAAGGACATTGAATACTTTGCCAAAAGGAATGTGCTATCATTATTTCAGAGCATAGTTTGAATGTATGGCTTTAAAGTAATCTTTTTTTGGTAGCTATACTGGTTTATCCTAAAAAATAATTGAAAATATTATTTAAAGTGTGTAAACCCTTTGTTCTTCATGCCTTAGATATCTACATTATGTATTCTCTAATTTTACCGAAAGTTACCCATGCATATTTTTTTGTTCTTCTTTCCATTTTCATGGAGGGCCTGTTTAAGTTGCTATTACTGGAGTCTCTATACATGGTTGTTCCCATCTGTATTTGGGAGATGCCTGTCTTTTACGTTATTCTTGAATTCTAGCAGTATTCAGTACTATAAGGGATGCTGTGGTGAATTTACTTTTCATTACTTGTTGCCTTTTTCTTTCTATTTAATTTATTCACAGATGGCTTTCTGAGCACGTTAGTTAGAAGCTTGCCTTCATCCATTAAGCTGATGTTTTAGTGATGTGGTATAGCTTAGGATTATCTGCAGCATAATGATTAGATGACTGTTCCAGTAGCATTGAGGAATTCCTTGATTTATTTTGGTTGACGAAAAAAGAATTGTAATTGGATTTTAGACTTGTTTTGCAAACCGAAGTTTTAGTTTTTGTGATATTGTATTTACTTGACTCTTCCAATCTTGAAGTAATCCTTTTATGTGTGCAACATCTATTCTGTTATGTAGTGTAACTCACATTATATTTTCCCCCTCAGATTAGGTGGGAGTTTGAAGGTCCAAGACTTGAATGCCATAATACGCCATTTTGGGATACTGAAAAGATGGCACGATCTTTCTCAGGTTCTATGAATTAACGAAACATAATATGATGTTCTTCCTTTTGACGTGGTTTTGAATGGTCTACCTAACATTATTTAGTTTTTGTTTCCAGTTGTTAATATTTTGATATGTTTACAATTGTTACAGCTCTTTGAATGGATGCAACAGAACGGAAAAATTAGTGCATCATCCTATAGCAGCTATATAAAATTCATGGGAAAGAGCCTCAATCCTGTAAAGGCACTAGAAATATACAATAATATTCAAGATGCATCAACCAAAAAGAATGTTCACATATGCAATTCTGTTCTTGGTAGTCTGATCAGGAGTGGCAAGTTTGATGGAAGCTTTAAGTTATTTCACCAGATGAAGCAGGATGGTTTAACACCAGATGCTGTCACATACAGTACGGTATGCATTTCAATGTATCATATTGCAATATTGGTTTCGTTAGCATTTCAAACAAAAGTTGTTTTCTCATGAAAATTGATAACAGACAGAGTTGATGGTGCTGAATCTTAATCAAGGAGGAAATTCAATGATAAAATAGACAAAATTAAATTACTATTTTGTGGGGGATTAGAGATAGTTCCCCACTGACATTTGATTCATCCATTCAGTTTTATAAAGCAAACGGATAAACAATTTATCAAATAGGAGGACAAAGTTAGATAGAGCAAGAATAACATTAAGATCTATGAAAGAAGAATAATAACATTAAGGAACACAAAATGATTGTTAATTGTTGTAACGCAAAACAATTAACAGTAATCATAAATGAAGGGAAAAAAAAAAAACACCAACACATATAGATGTTAATTTTGTGAATAGCGCCTCGTTTTTTTCAAGTACATTGTT